CACACACACACACACACACACACCCTTTGTCAGCTTATTACAAAAAAGCTTTCCTTATTCTTCCAAAGTAAAAAGTTAGTTATGTTTTCATGTACTTTTCAAATGCATTATTTTTAAAGTTAACCATGACCTTTTCTTATTTACTTCACAAAAAGATGACATCATACATGTAAACTTCTTATTTACTGGATGTTAGCAGCCTTTGCATCTTGCTAGCAAAGATCTTACTATGATCTATTCTTCCTCCCTCATTCCAAATGCACTGGTTATTTGAGGCCAGATTTTCAGAAGTATTTAGAAACCTAGAGTTACAAAGTCACTACCTACCTGATGCTTGCTTTCTTTTGAAATGGAAATCTCTAACAGTTCCATTAGTGGCTGGAAGTAATCTTTCAGGGTTAATAGCTACCTCTGACACATGCTTAGATTTAGCTATACTAAATTTTTTCTTTCCCTTCCAGTTCTATTCCCATGATAACTTTTCTTCTTGTTACATTCTCTGACAACTCATTAGGACTGACCTGTTGACAGTCTTCATATAATTTATTATATAGATTTGGGGTATTTATCTCTTAAACCATACACTTCAAAATGCAAAATGACAAACTGGTGAATGTTAAAAAAAAAACCCCAAAGTCCCTGATGTCATGATATGGAAGAAGTAGAAAAAATAGTAAGTTCAAAATCAGCTTAAGCTGTGAGTTGGCAGAATTCCATTGACTACAAGAGTAGCAAAAATTTAGTCCTATGACTAAATTCGTTTAGGACTTCATTACAGAAAGAGAACCACAAAGAATATATTTCATATGCAATTAATTTTAACATAAATATTTCTCTTCAGATTTTTGTCTGTGCCCTTCTCCATTGTATCCATGTACAACTAAGCAGTGGCAGTGATCAAAATTTTGTAGAATTGTGACAGATAATTGCAATAAAAATAGAGATTAGGAAGATACATCATGCTCTTTTATGAAAAATAACAGCGTGGTAAATATTTTGAAGTATTTCAAGAAAACTGTTTTACTAGGTGCCTGAATGTCTCTGGCTCATACTAAGTAAAGTGACATCTCAATACTGACATCATCTGTAGGATAAATCCCTCTTGTACCTTCCTGATCTGAAAATTCATAAGTATTTTTAGAGGTGCTGATGAACTCTAGCCCCCAATTAAGTCAACTGGGGTGTTCAAAACCTGTGAAATATCATTCCGCCTACCTTTTTATAAGAAGCTGCAATATCCTTACATTTCCTGCTTATGCTTACTAGGGCTGTGCAAGGCTTCAGCAGCAGATTCGATCTGGAAGAGATTTGGCCCGATTCGGGAACCGAATCTCCAAATCCAAATTGAATCAGGGGACCAAGTAAAAGCTCCGAATTGATTTGAAGCATCTGAATCAATTTGGAAAAAAGTTTGGAAAAGACTTGGCCGCTTTGGAGATTCAGCCATAGACTAAACAGGCTGCTTCCAGCTGGTAAGTCTGTTGGGGTTGCGGTTGGAGGAGGGAAGGAGTGTGGGGGAGGGAGGGACTGGGGCTGGGACAAGCTGCCCAGCTAGGGCAGGGGGCATGTTACTCGGGGTGGGGGGTGAGGGATGAGGGCGTGGCAGCACTGGGAGCGGGGGCTCTGCTGCCACTTTCCAGCTGAGGCGGGATGCAGGCATGGGTCGATCCAGGCGGAAGAGTACAAGTGGTGGCAAGGCAGAGACCCTGCACCCAGCGCTGCCATGCCTGCTTCCTGCACCCCTCCACACCAGCTGACAAGCAGCAGCAGGACAGAGGCCTTGCTCCCAGTGCTGATGCAGGTGTGGCAGCACTGGGAGAGGGGGCTATGCGCTGCTGCCGCCTGGAGCAAGCTGTGCCTACATAGCTGGGCAAGCAGCAGCAGTGCATAGCCCCCACGGCACCCCCTTGCCATGGCAGAGGCAGGCACAGCTGGAGAAGCCATGGGAGAACCTGCAGCCGCCCAGCTTTGCCTGCCTCTCTCTGGCTGATCCGAATCACCGCTGAATCTTCTGAAGCTGATTCGGCCAAATAGATTCAGGACAGTGATCTGAATCTCTGAATTGAATCACTGTCCTCTGTATCGGCCGAATCCAAATCCCAATTGAATACTTCCCTATTCGCGCAGACCTAATGCTTACTTTGGCGATAGCATCTCATAAAGTGAACTCTTCCTTATAAAAGTTTATGTGACTCTACATTACTTAACCTATTACTTGCAACTCTGCACTCCCTTCTACTCATACCTTAAGTTATGAAACAGAATCTGTTTCTTATTTTACATTATACTCAGTCTGGACCCTGGCACGTTACTACCCCCTATGTTATGTTAAGCTCTGGTTTTCTTGTGTAAGATGGTTGTGTTTCAGTGGTAAATGATTTACAGAATTTTTTACTGTAAATATTCCCCCCTCCTCAGCTACATTTCAAATGAAAGGTTCACTAAATTAAAAACATCCTCCAAATTATCACCACTGGATTTTATTTCCTTTTATTTTTGCAAAACAAAATCTTTGGCCTAATTCTAAATGTCTTTGGTCTAATTCTAAATGACTATGATACACTAGGAGCAATATGTCTTTCTAAATAAAAACCAAAGCAACAGGAGCCAAAAATAAGCCTATTTTTCCTGTAGTCTTTATGAGACATTAAATTAAGTACAGTTTACATCTCAAAATCATAATATACATGACAAATTGCTGAAAAGATGGCAGGTTTACACAATCATCCTATTTTAGTTTAAGGTGCTCTCCTTTGTAATCATTCTGCATTCTTTTTTTCTCCCTTTCTCCAAAACTCCTCTCATGCTGTTAATGTCATTACCTCCTGTTTCTATGACATTTTCCATAAAATTATGCAATACTGTGGAGGAAAAGACAAAACAAAAAGCCAACCAAAAACCCAAACACTCACCATCATTAAACTTAGGTTCTAAAAATTCACAAACCCATATATATAGTAATGTTGCTACCTTAGCTATAAAATATGAAGTACTTAAAATAGTTTTTAACAATGATTTCTTGATGAGAATCATGAACCTAATCAAGAAATGACTGATGTTCTTCTGAAGAGAGCAAGACATCTAATAATCAACAACTTTGATGCACAGCACACAACTTTTGACAAAACTTATTAAAATTTGTTTTATACCACTATGGAATAAAAACCACCCCAAGCAAAGAGTAATGAATAAAATGAAAAACCCAAATGTAACAAGTAAAGCATAATTATATGATCATATTATTTTCAAATCTCATCCCTTCCTCAGTCATCTTGCCTTTTAAGAGCTTGATTCCACGCTCTCTTATCCACACTAACAATTAATAGGACTATTCAGGTAAATACAACCTCCAGTATACCTGTAAGGAATTATACTTCTGTGCTTTTACATGCTGAAATATAAGGAAATCACTTTATCACATGGATTTAAAGTGCCATGTTTCTACATGGTACTATAGACTTTGCCCCTGCCCATTAAATGGGTTGTGACAGCTAATTACTCACCACCCTGTTTCAGACAGAGGGCTTTTTGCCACTGCAGGAGTAATGTTGAGGACCTGAAATCTGAGGGAAGTAGCAGGAGTAAAAACCAGTTTTAATATGGTCCTTGATAAGTTTATGAACAGAATCATCTGACATGACTGTGTGTGAAAGGCAGGCACTGGCCTCTGATCTTGGAAGCTTTTGCTAGCCCACTTTTCTTTGCTAGACTTTTCAATGCTGCAAAAACTGTGCTGCAGCCTACCAAATAACCCAAGGAATAAACTGGCCCCCAGTAATTCATGAGATTTTCAAACACTTTTTATTTTTATTTTCTAAAGAAGACCAGGGCAGTGCTTTTGGCAAGAATGAAAACTTACCTTCTAAACATAAAATTCATAAATACAACTTAAGTTTTTGAAGGAATGTGGGTGTTTCACCAGGAGGTAAATCTTTAACAAACCTAAACACTAAGAATAAATTTTACCCAAGGACAAAGTATCACTTAAAAGTAACAATAATTTTATGGAAGTGGTTATTAGCAGAGCTTTTAACATGATTAATGCATATATATACACATGTATATACTAATTAAAACACTAGAGAAACATGCTTCTATTTAACACACATAAACAGAATTAAAGTAATTATTTTTACCAGATCCCAGTCTATGCTGCGGAAAAAGGTATGAGACTTGATATCAGAAAATCCTGTCTGTGGTTGGCAACCAAGCCTTTCTTTGGGATCCTGTGAAAAAGAAAACATCATCAATGTTATGTTTTCCTCTACTTCCTTTTTTATTGCCTTGTCATAAACAAAACATTTCTATTTTTCCACTGTTCAGGAGTAGATCAGGGATGCTCAATCCCCAGCCCATGGAACCATGTCATCTGATCTGTGGGGATCTCCATGCATCCAAAATTTGGCAGCAGGGAAGCAGTGGCACCACTGACCTGCTGCCAAATTGCAGGACCTGTGGGCAGCCCTGGGCCCTGTGTGCTTGACTGGATGCCTGATTCCAGCACACAGGGCTGGGTGGGTATGGTGCTGGTGCAGGACCCCAGGGCCCAATCCCAGTGAGAGAGGGGTGGGGCTAGGAGGAGTTTATGCCAGGCCCCAGGGCCAAATCCCAACATGCAAAGGCAGGAAGGAGTGACCCCAGGCCCCTGGGCTCCAATGTGCAGGGGTCAGAGGAGGTGGTGACAGGCACCAGGCCCAGTCCTGGCATACCAGGCTCATTCAGGCCCATGAATTGCCCTGCACCATTCATCTGGCCCATAGGATCAAAAAGTTTGAGCACCACTGGCATAGATTATCATCAGAATTGGTAATGTTATATAAAACATTGGTGAAGTAAACTAAATCAGTCTAGCTTTCTATATGCAACTGGTTTGGAAACTCTTATAAACTAGGGTTTTTTCCAACTGTTTTTGGGCTACATTGTAAAACTGTATTTTTATATTTAAAAAATGCTGTCCTCACTCTGCAATTAAAGCAGATAATTTCATTAACTTCAACCAGTCTACCTGAATGAATAAAGAGTACTCATAAAAACCCAGCTTAGTATAATCTTTGTTGGTAATCTTTGGTACTCTGTTTCATTATAAAGAACATTTTACTAAGTAACCATCTGGTAGTTTGTTTTACTACTTTTTATTTGCTAGCAAGTTTTAAAAGTTAAATTCTACGCTATGAATTTTTCACACAAGTCAGCAATTAGACTGTTTTTATATTACATAATGTGTTCAGGCTTTTTTTTTTTTTTTTTTTTTTTTTTTTACAGTAAGCAAAAGCGTTTCTACATTTTTAATTCGCTGCAAAATAAGGTTCTGAGTTACCAATCCTATATGCTATAAATAAGGGAAATATTGGAAAACTTACCTTATTTAAAAATCCTTTCAAGACATGGGAGGCCTTGACAGAAAGAAATCTTGGAATCCGGATTGGTTTCTCAAGAATAACTGTTACAAATTTAAAATAAACAAACAAACAAATAAATAAATAATATATATATATATA